TCCTGGTACTTCATAGCACCATATATTTATCAAATCGTGTATGAGTTATGATTCTGTAGAAAATTGAATCCACAGATTTTGAATATGTAAAAAATCTACTGATTTAAATAACCTGTGAATTTTTCCAGGTTTACTTTTGCTTCTTTTTATACTTGTGAGAACAGCTCACGGGTGAACTCCGGGAAGCTCTATGAAGCTCAGAAACAGCCGAAGATATTTCATCCAATCATCTTTAGGAAGGATACTCCAGAACCCCTTGTACTCGGATTGGATGACTATAATGATGATTTCGTTTTTACTAAAAAACTATAAATACCTGGTAGTTTTATATCATATTTGACACTGTTTGACATAGCATTCCTTTCACTTGTCTTCTCATTTGCGACTTTGAGGGTTCTAGCGTTAGAGTGCTTAAATTGTACGCAGTATAATAAGAATCTAACCTCTAGATATAACAATACTAAGTATCATCAAGTATATAAACCTTGATTTTTGCGCCCCATCAGCGTTTAGATTTGGAGGATTTCATTCAGTGCATCATTATGTCACTGTCACGCTAATTTATTTAACTAGTTGACTGATTGATTTTTTTCAATTCTTCAATAATGTTCATTTTATTTCTATCGTTATCAACTGTTATTCTGTAGATGCCATTATTGAAAGATGTAATGTGAAAGTGGATCAGTGAAGCATTAGTTAAATCAGACAATTTTCTCTAGCCAAGGTTGTATAGTAAATGAAATACAAATTTAAACAGACTATGATGAATGGGCATTTGGTTAAATTTTATGTTACATAAGTAATAATAAATAATAAATAAATAATAGTTGTAGCTAATTCAATCGTATTTCAATAACTTGATAAAATGTAGCTTCTCTGGCTGTTTAGGTAGCATAGTGGTAGGAACCGATCACAATGGCTGAGTTTCTCCTCAAATCAAACTTTAGGAGTACTGAGGAAGTTATTGGATGTAATTAGAAGATTAGGAAACAGGTAAATATACCAACAGTAATATGTTAACTTTAAAAGAACATAATAAATGAATACATTTCTGTTATCAGAATCTACAACTAATCTGAGCTATTATCATATAACTTAAAAAATATATATGGGTATTACTTTCTTTAGTTCCAATTTTATGTATATCATGTGTTGTTTCTGCAATAATTTATCCAAATATTTGATCTTTTCTTTTTTTAAACAAACTTCTTTTCAGCTCTTACTTTTAGACGCCGATAGATTTTCTCGAAACCCGGTGCCTATCATGAAGATTGTGCAGCAATTTATATTAGTTCGTAGGCAGTTAGATTATTCACAATACTTACAGTAAGTATGAAGGCATATTTCACAGATATATTTCTACGTATTTTACCTTTTATAGTTTCATAATGATTCCGGTCGTTAACTGATAACAACCATTGAACTAGAGTATTAGACGACTGTTTCGTTTTAGTTCAATGGCCAATCATGAGTACACATTATTTCACACTATTTACTATACAATAGTGATTTATAGCTAATTTTATAACTAAATGCAAAAATACATGTAACGGAGTAGTAGCACAATCAGTAATTTTCTCAAGTCATCATTGTGATCTTAATATTGGATGGTAATATTGCTTTTGTATTTAGTGAGAATACCTTTTCTTTACATGTACCTGTATTTCAGAAAATTATACTCGTCGTCGCAAATTACTCATGGAACAAGCAGCAAAACGGTATATATCCGAACTGATATGCACACCTTAAAACCTATGATTATTTTTTGCTATTCATTTATGCTTACTTATTTAGAAGAGTTGAATTTGATCGAAAGCTTCTCCTTAAATCATAGTGAGGTTGCTTACAGTAGATATATGGAAGATGCAATTGTTATTGCTCTCAAAAAAATGAAAGGATTATAAGAGTCAATATTTTAAGTAGTTGTACTTAAAATTCTGCACGAACTTACAAAAAGATTACCACCATTCCAATATTAAGTAATTCATAACCGAAAAGATATCATAAGTCATCTACTTACAATATTAATTAAATAAATTAATATTTCACGTGTTGTAAAATTAAGTTAATCTAGAAATTGGGGAAAAAATATCAAGGGAAGAGATTTAGTTTCAATTGAATGCTTTATTTTAAGATCACTCAGTAGTACCTATCTATGTCTGTAAATTTTTCTCCAGTTTTCCAAATTTCAGTACCTAGGTTGAACTTAATATTCCTGAGGACTAAAAGGAATCGTACTTATGTATTTATTATTGTTATTTCATAGTTAGTCTTACCTCCGAAGCCATAACTTTTCATCAGGAAGCTGACTATTCTAACGTATTTTCAGTCGACTTCATACTCAGCATTGAGACGTTTGAATTCGTTTTGAGGCTGATTTTCAGCTAATATTAAACTTATTCAAAATATAACGGTAAAAAAATTACCAAATAATTTATACACCAACCTGGATCGTTAAAAGATGTTGGTTGATTCAGTTGTAAGAAAATTATTAAAAGCTCTAATACCAACTTAAAGTCACTGAATAACTGGTAACCATTGCAAGTCAATACGTGGAGGATGGGTTCCTATAAGACGTTCAACTGAGAGAGATCTAAGTCACTGTAGTTGGTGGGTTTCAAATATGCTAAACGTGTATTCTAAATTCACTGTTATCCATCACCAATTTCAAGCAACTATCTAATACTATTTAACTTTAAGTTATTCTATATGTTAAAAGATCTATGACATGACTTCAATTAAATTAAAAAACACAACACCCTTTTTTCTTACTATTTGTATTTAGCTTCAATCGTAAAAAAGGATTCTTTTGTGTGGTTACTAAAAACGCATTTAATTGGAATAATGGTTGCTTGGGTCGAAGTAAAGGAAGAACCTATGAACAATTAGATCGCAATATTTTATTGCCAAACTTAATGGAATTGTATTTCTCTAAGGCTAATCATAAACTGTATAGATTATTACAAAAATATCCTCTATGGAATAGTGCATTGACATTAAATACACATAAACTCCCATCATGGATTAAAATGAGTAATTAGCTTATTAAAGTCTTTTGTCTCCTGGTTAACTGCTTGTACAAAATATTGCCATTTCTGCATTTCTTGATTAATAAACTTCAGAAAATTAACTTTTCTCTTTATATGTAATAGTGACGCTGTATATCATTTAAAAGCGATTATTCCTCTAGATTATGTACATTAGGAAAAGCAATACAAACAAATATGATGAGTAATGTAACTACTAAATCGATTTTAACATTAATATAAAAAATTGCACTCGAAAAACTATATCGCTCAGCAACATACATTTTTGATCTATGGATATATAACAGTGGAAGTAAAACGATGGTCGCTTGTAGATGTAAAATATGGGTTTTATGTGAACATATAGATCAGAGTGGTTTGGGTTACATAGAATATAAGACAAAGTTAGCAGCTTAACCTATTTTGGTCAATAGACTAATTATATTGATTTTTTTTCATTACGTGCTGGTAGCTATGGAACATGCATAAAGGGAGTTTCATATGTGTTAGTGAAAAGCCCTACATCAATTATTAATAATATTTTATTGCACTTAGACGTTTGAACATACTTCAATGGCCCTCATGTAATTATATAAGTCAGCTCTTGAAGATCATGTCTATGCAGAATTCAGGAACGACTACAGTGGCATGATGAATCTATTATCTACAACGTCCTACAATCTTAAAGATTTCAATGTAACCCCGACCGTGCGTTCTATTTCTAGTGATCTTACCGTGAAGAGCACCTGGCTATATAAATACATGCAAACAAACAACTCTCCATACCCAAGCTGGTTGTCAATAAAAATTACTATTTTAAGATCTAAACGTGTGCCATTTGACAAAAACAAATTCGTTGTATTCCTACACTGTTTTCATTATTCGGACCATATATACTGAAACCAGATAATTTAGTTTCATTGTAGGTCATTGTTAGTGAGTGAGATCTTCCAAACTAATAACCGAAATCACAAACGGGGATACGATACCGGTGGATTTAAGAAGACAACAAAGTCTTTATATCTTCTTATAAGTTCATTTAAACAAACAACATTCGCACTGATTTTAAAACCAACCATTTCCACAAATAATCAGAATGGGCAGAAACGAATTAAACACTTTTCGCCGTAATAGTCAAACACATTGCTTCTATATGTATAGCTATTCAGTCACTTATCCCATAGATTCCCTAATTTCCTTTCAGTCAAAAACTGCACTAGTCCTTCGGTTTGTTGAGTAGCCCTGGTTTCTTTTTGTAGTCGCTTACCTGCCGTGAATGTTACAAAACTCCTCCCAATAATTAACAAGTCATTGCAAGATATTTCAAATGTTACATTCGTGTAGTATTTAGTTATAGGCCCATTTCATCTCACAATGGTCCCAATGATGCAACCATACTGTGGGCTCCTAATAGTTTGTGGCGTAATTTTTTTAAACAGGATCCCCACACTTTTTAACTACCCCTAATATTTTGCTGTTCCTAATGTTATCTTTACAATATTCCTATCTGTGAGCCACTAGATATAGAGACTGTACTTGTCGAACACAGTGAGACGAGTGTCTTCAAATTATATCCTAATTCAGTTTATTTATGGCAGCGACCTTATGATCTTCCTACTGTGGAAAGAAGAAACTCCCCTATGATGAACCGTAGTATATGTTTGTAGCTTAGCGATGTTTGATACCTGAAACCCAATCACAAATTTTATTCCATTTGGCATACCGTAATTCATGCAATCAAACAAGACGATTGGCTATTAAAATATCTGTTTCTTCTAAGAACTCATACGCAAATGTGGGTGTATTTGCTATGTTTACATAACCCATAAAGCGAGATGTTGCTAGTAAATCGTACCAACGTTGTGTTATTTTACCATCTGAATAACCTTATGCACATATATACGTCTAATTTTCTTTAAATAATAAGTTCATATCATAACAAATCACTCAAAAAGTTATAGGAAGACTTCAGGATAAAATCACAGAATACTTTTTATTTACAAACTTCATATTGTAAAATGTAGTCAAAAGGTAATGATCTTGATGCTTCACATAAATTTCATCTAATAGACAGAGAGTCGTTCCAACTTCCTATCAAGTGCTGGATTCACTCACTACAGTCGGTAAGCTTGATTTAAGATGTGAGCTCTGGGAAGTTTTTAATGAATTATTTCCATCCAGACAGCTGTATTCATTACCACCAGCCGTTGGGTCAAGTTGTCTATTTGAATGTTTGGAAGAGTGATCTAGCTTCCCAGAACCCGGTACCAAAGAGATTGTCAGTTTTAAGGGTGATCGATGATTATTAACTGTTCCGTTAGAATATTTGCATTCCAGTTGGTCAGATGAGGTTGCTGAGTTCTTGTACGAGATCATGTCTCCCGAAGATGACTCCAAAAAATTCTCCTCGGTTTCGGTATCATCATCTTCTAAACGTTGTTGTTCTGCTATGCGCCTAAAAGTACAAAAACACTATTTCTTAATTATCAACTCTTGTATTCGAGTTTAAGTTGATGATATAACACCACTGCCCTGACTAATGTAAGTAGCTGTTTTTGTTTCTTATAATGGTAGAGTGGAAATACGGGTCCCCAAATATCTATAATTATTGTCAGTGCATTCGCACTTTAGGTTTTACCAGTACGGAATATTGTGTGATACCCCAAATGTAAACCATCGATAATTTCGAAAGATATAACTACTACACTTAATATGTTCACACTTGAGAATAGTATTTCTCTCGACATCCTCAAATACCACTTTATTCCATGCATATAAAAAATAATAACTGGCATTTTAAACGTAAGGGAAATCCACATTGAGTTTGCCACAAATTCTATTTAGATCCAAAGTTACACTAAGAATAAAATTAGGACTATTAAGCGTGCAACGGTGGTGTGAGGTACGACTGCACATGCTATCTGTCAATCTAAACAGTTCAAGGTTTCGGTTCTAAAATCTATTGTCAACAAAGAACCTGGCAATACTGCAAGAAATGAATTACGCTGATATTTTGGGTGACATATTTCGAAAGAGAGACAATAATTTGTTGGTTTGTCTCAAGAAACTTTATTACGGTAGACTTCATAACAGAAACAAAGATACGAATGACTGACCCATGAAGGTAACCTTAGCAAGAACAAAGTTTCAATAAAACATCAATACAGAAGTGTCCCACTTACTTGTTGGCTCTTCTTGAACTGTTTCTTCCTAATCCCATACAATTAGATAAGTGGACAGCATAACGTGTAGCAGCAACCTTACAATTACACTTCCCACATCGACAGCAACTAGCAGTTTTGCTAGGGTCTCTGCCAGAGCCTGAATTCGAAGAACCATTGCCAAGATTATCCGACAAGTTTGTATTTTGTTCAGGAGCAATAATATGGAAATATCCTAATTTTATTGCACGATGCATTGTTAAAATTCCATCCATCAAACATGAGTCAACTAACTCATCAATAAATTCTTGCAGAATATCCTGAAGATCACTATGTGTTACAGCAAAGGGCTTTTGCATTTATGTCGTATTAATGTAGGTGTGAACTTCAGGACCGCTACTTGGTAAATAAAAAACGGAAATGTATTTTCTCTTAACGAGGTATATGTATTCATGTATCTATATTCAGTGAAGAAATACAAGTTGGTAAGTCCTTATGAAAGCAAACAGTATAACAAGGCCTCAACAATCTTAGAAGTACAAGATTATAAAGATGATGGGTTATAAACTGAGTTATCACTTTTACAAGGACAAAAACTATTATATACCTCATTAGAGTAAGTATTGGTCATCAATATTCGAACACTAGATTTCCGTTTAGCCTGTATGTTCACTGATAATGATAAAATGCGAATAAAAACCATTTGAGTCAGGTGATAACAATCTAAACGCCGAGAAAGCAATCAAATAAAGGAGCGAAAAGCGCACATGTAAAACTTATGCTAGCATAACTTTTCCTTTAGATCCTATGCACATGGTGTACCTAGGTGTCACCAAAAAGCTAGCTAATCTTTGGGTAGAATTCTCACATAGAAGATTGCTTAACTTGAACTCATGTGCAATTAGGGACATAAATAATTTAATATCTGGTTGCGTGACAAGTACTCCCTCCGACTTTCAGCGTAAATGCCGTACACTGGACTTCGTATCGGTATGGAAAACTTCTGAATGTAGGTTGTTCCTTCTATATTTAGGCCCAGTGATTCTGCAAAATCATTGCCCCAACCTTTGTATCTTAATTTCCGGTGTTTAGCGTTATCCATTTATCTGATTGCACATCCTAAATTACATGATACAGTTGTAGAATCTGTCAAAATGGACTTACGAAACTTTCTTAAGGAATACGAATGGTGTTATGGGTCTGAAAACTTAGTTTACAATGTACATTTCTTACAGCACTTTCCTGACGACGTTCGTGCACATGGACCTTTAGATAGTTTTTCAGGTTTTCCATTCGAGTCTTATATGAGACAAATACAAAAATTTGTGCATAATGGGTATGTTGTTACAAAGCAAGCAGCTCAGCGTTATGCTGAGAAAATGTCATTCTGCGATAGGCTTCAAGTTAGCCATTTAACTAATACTACCCCAATAGCCGCTAAGGAGGTCTGCAATAAACAAGTAATTATGTTTAAGAATAGTAAACTAACTTCATTTAAGCCTGATAATGTTGTAGTAGTAAACGAACAGCCTGGTTTAGTCACTGATATAGGGGAGGATGGACTACTAAAATTTAGGTCTTTCACTGACCCACGCAATTACTTCGAAGATCCTTTCCCATCCAGTGATATAGGAATATTTATGTGCTCCGTAGTTAGCCATGAACACACATGGGTATCGGTTAAGGACATCGACTGTAAATGACTTGAGTATAAATGTAAAGCTGCTACTAGCGAAGTTCAGTGAACGCGAACATCCGCATCAATTCGACTGCGGACTATCAAGTCAGCAGTTCCCTTTGTCATCTGAAGAGGAACTGCAGATTCTGGACACTGGTTTGCAGCAGAAAGAAACCAGGGACAGATTTGTAAGTCAACAACATTAATTTTATAATTTGTTCGTATCACAGATGGCCATGGTAACGAGGTTAATGGATAATGATCCTAAAACCTCAATGCGATATGTTTTGTCGTACCTCATGACACCTGAGGTCGCCAGTAATTTCACGCTACTTGGCACTTCAGAAATGCCGGTTTTATGGCTACATACGAAGTAACCTATATCTATTATTTTAACTTCAGGTGCTTTGACCAATCGCTTTTTGTCATCATCTGTCAATGAAAAAGACCTTGCGAAGCTGTACGATATCGCTACACAAGTTTATTTTCACGACGTCCGAGACAAATTGATAAAGCGTAATAGGAGGAAACAAGGACAGGTATGCACTAATTTAAAGTGATAAATTCGCTACTGCTATATAGTTATTGTCAAGTGCTAACGAACATAACCGTAATTGAAGCTGTGCCAAAGCATGTCATTCATACATCGTTGTAATTTCTTTCGTTCTTTACACTTCAGATTTCACAGGAAGATTATTTTTATTCTCAATAGCCGAACATGCGTGGCTAAAGGAAGTAATCCGTGAAATGTTTTTTATGTTCTACTTATTTTTCAATAAACATTATTTTGTAAATGAGCTTACTTTCTTACCTACATGGGGAACTATTTAAGTGTTGAGAAAGTGCGTATGATTTTCAGTGAACTTGCTATTAAATACACATGCCTTAATAATAATACATCACCTGTATCTTCTTTTGCAGATATTTTCAAATAACAATGAATCGGGAATTACAATGAAAATGTATAACGCTTGATGCTCGAACTTCTGTTATAATGTTGTACAACTACGCTTTTTCTTTTCAATAAATTTATCTAAACATATGTCATTCTACCCGTGGATTGCAGTGTGGTTTGTTGTTGGGATAAAGTCGAACATAGGAGACCTATGGGGTTATGCCAATGGTGTTTTAAAAGTTGGAGCAAAAGTAGATAATTCGGTGTGCATTTAGGCGGAAAGTAGACAATTCATCGGATATTTAGGTGAATATTAGACAATTCAGCGGATATTTGGACGAAAAGCACACAATTCAGCGACATTTGAGCGACAGAGCGACAAAAAGGGGTAAATCCGCATTATTTCCCCAGGACAGGCGAAAAAGTAGACGTTTTGACGCGTTTCCCCTTTGTTGGTTGATAGGGCTCCAGAATAAAACCAGTTGACAACGATCAGAACGATAGGAGGGTGAGCTTTAAAAACCTTAAAGTTATATTTTAACAAAGATAATCACGTCCTGAGTGTTATATGCCCTTGAATAACAGGTAAAAACGAGAATTCGACATATGAAGCGTAAAAATGTATAAGAGCAAGCAAAGGGGCTATCTGGATACATAAAACACCAGTTGACTAACATTAGTAAGTTCAAACATAATATGAGTTCCGAAACGACTTCGGGAGGTCGTTAACCTATAAGTCTAAACAACCTTCACATTTAATAGTTTCGGTCAAACAGGTGCCCAAAGTGAACGACTTATCACTGAAAGAATTTTGATTCGAATATGTTTTAAGGACTCTTATCTTAAATATGAGGTTATTCACAATAAAAACCGAGTGATAGTGACTAACTTATTTCAATGTTCAATAGAAATGGTATTCTCAAACTACTTTAGCAATATATATACCATAGAAACACCCTTCTCGTCAGTCCACACAAATCCCTCCACACAAACACTGGACAGTGTGACTATTAAAGAACTCGATGTCTTTGGTCTGCTAAATAAGCTTGACATAGGTAAGTCAACGGGACCCTATGAATTGCATCCTAGGCTACTAAAGGATTTAGCCAACTTCGTTGCGAACCCTTTAAGTACATGAATCAATCTATCTGCAACTCAGAGTCATTTACGAAACATAAACCTGAGAATTACCGACCCGTTAGCCTAACTAGTGTGATTTTTAAAATCGTAGAAAAGATTATTCAGGAGGGTTTGTTTAAGTTTCTCGATGAAAACCGGATCCCTTCGGAAAAGCAGCATGGTTTAAGAATAGGTTATTCTTGTTTCACTAACAAGTTAGTCGCTCGTGAAAGCTGGTGCGCTCTTAAGGACCAGAAGTTACCTGTAGACGTAGTCTGCATTGACTTCAAAAAAGCTTTTGACAAAGTTCCACACAACCACCTGTTATATAAGCTAAGAAATGTCGGAATTGGAGGCAATCGATTGATGTGGATAAAAGACTTCTTAGTTGGGCGCCAACAAAGAGTACGGGTGAACTCAAAGTTATCTAGCTGGGAAACTGTGCTTAGTGGAGTGTCACAGGGTACAGTCTTGGGGCTAGAGTTATTCCCCTTGTACGTAAATGACCTTCCTCGCCTAATATTATCATCGGTCTTGTTATATGCTGACGATGTCAAGATATGGAGGACGATACGAAGTGAGGGTGATAGCACAGAGCTCCAAAAGCACTTAGGGAAATTATCTGAAAGGCCTCAAACCTGGCAGTTGTCAATAAATATTTTCAAGTGTATTGTGATGCACATCGTTCATCGAAGTACAGATTCATACACGATAAATAACGCTGAGCTACCTGTTGTCCGGTCACTGAATTGGGGGCCATCGTTAGCCAAGACTTAAAGACCATTGCCGCCAAATGTTTTAGACCTCTATGGTCAATACGAAGGGCTTTTAGTCATGTCAACATTGAAAGGTTTTTGACTTTTATACTGTGTGCGTACGTCCTAAACGTAGGTACTGCATACAAGCGGCTAGTCCCTGACTAAAAAGACAGTGGACTTCTGTAAAAAGTTCAGAGAACAGCAATTAAGCTGATTCCCGGAATAGCAAAGCTCCCGTATGATGTTTGACTGGCCAAGCTAAACCTTTTCCCGTTGTCATATCGAAGAAATAGAGGCGACTTGATTGTAGTTTTCAAATTGCTTAGTGATAAATTAGCACCTGATGTGCCCTCATTTTTCATGTCTTCCAAAACAGAGAATTTACGAGGACACCAACAAAGTTCACAAGCCCAGGACAAATCACTTGTCAGTCGATTATCGACTTGCCCACCGAATCATCAACGAGTAGAATTCATTACCTCAGCACGTGATTGAGGCTCCATCCATCGAGTTTTTTTTAAAAGAAAGTTGGATCAACTGAGAGACCACCATTGCCGATACTAACATAGGCCATCAAGCCTCCTTTCCTTTTCAAACTGAAAGTGAGACTGTCAAACATATTTGTGTTCAATGCCATATTAAGCTGTATAGCTTTTCATTTGTGTCATCCACATGTAGATACAGTCCTTCTACGAACACTGTTACAGCGCACTCCCCTTCTCAGAACGAAGAAAAAAATAAAGTGGAACTGAGGGACTGAAATCACCTGCTTGTGGAGAATCGCATGACAAACCTATACTGTCACATGCATTATTCACTTATAATGTGGAGGAAAAGTGCTTAATTCTACACACATGTGAAATGAGAAAATATGCATTACAGGCCCATGCTAACGTATCTTATTACGTGGTTCAAATGGTTGTGGGCGGGATAGAAATTTTCGTTTAGCGGGCTTTCTTGTCTAATAGCAATGGATCACCAATACATACAGGCAGGAACCTAGATATACAAAATAATAAAAGAAGAAAAAGCAATTGGTAAATCATAGAAAGATACTATCATTAGTCCATTAGAATAGGTCGGAAATCCTCTTAAGGGACTCCTGAGAAGTCTCATAGACTAGCTAGGCCGGCAGCGGATTCCATCATTTGACACTTCTCAAGGAGTAGAAGATGTATCTGCAGTCCGTCCTGCTGTGTTGTGTCTCTAGTTTCTGGGTGTTACACCTTGGGTTTGTGTTGGGACTAAGCTTAATTAATCTTTAAGGAGATGTCCAGAAGTATTTAGGATGCTGTAAGCCACTAGAAGGTCACATCTAAGACGCATGTACTCTAATGGGTAAAGGTTTAGTGATTAAAGGCGTCCTTCATAAGGTTTGAATCTGAGTCCACGAACTGATTTCGTGGATACTATCCACAGTGTCCTTAGCCTTTTGGAGTGGAGGAGGAAATACTATGTTTCCGTACTCTAAATGAGGAAGAATAAAACTTGAAGATCATGTGGAAAGTTCTACCGTCAAACTGGCCAAAAAGATTACCAATGTTACCAGTGCAAGGTTTGCTACAGATAGCGTAATATTTCAAATGGCAAAGTACCAGCACTCTTAAACCTTTATCAACTTGGTATACTTCTAGAGAGGAGTTTCTTAATTTGTAAATGTAGTCACCAACATGTCTCAGATGGACAACTTTACACTTGGAAGTGTCAAAGGTACGTCCATTGTCATCTGCCCAACTTTGAAGTCGAGTCAGATCCTCCTGAAGTTCCTGTATATCGTCTTGTTTGCGTATTTCTATCCAAAGTTTCACATCAGCAACAAAAAGTAATAAGTTTGATGTTACCTGTTGTGGAAGATTGTTTATATATCAGAAGCTTTTGAGAAATAAATGTAAATGACTCCAACCTTCCGCTTGCGATCATGGATGGTTGTCTATCTGTCCACCGCAGTCATCAAGCTGGTTATATGTGATTGACCCTTCCTGAAACCATGCTGTTGTGGTGAAAAGAAGTTTAAGGATAGTAAACAGTCATGTATATCATAGAATATCAGGGACTCCATAATTTTTGATGGTATAGATGGAAGAGCCATCGGTCGGTAGCTTGAAGGTTCGCTGCATCGACCTCCTTTGAAAATTGGTGTGATGTGAGCCAGCTTCCAATTTTTCGGTAGTTTGCATCGGCTTAGCGGGTGTGAGTACATCACGCTAAGCGGTGTTGCCAGGATTGAAGCTGCTTCCCTCAGTATAGGAGAATGGACCATATCCAGACCAAGAGGAATGTCTTTTTTTACGTTTCCGGAACACCAAATCAGCGCTCACGTTCACTTTTGAAAGTCATGTGCAGTTGTAGATGAAGCTCTCATCAATATACTTAATATGGGTCGGTTGAAATGTCCGAGAGTGCTGTTCAACCAGAAGGTTAGCGGCCTCACCGTCGTTATTGGTCTGGTCATTAGGACCTAGCAGTAGCGAAACGTCAGGTTTGGCTTGTTGAAGAGAGGTTGCATAACGGAATAGGCTTTTCAGGTTAGGGACAAATTTATCGATAAGCTTTATCTGGTATTGAATCCTGTTCTCTCCTATTGCCTTTGTGCATATGTTCCTTATATACTTGTATTGCTTGTACACGCCACTGATATCAGTTCGTTTGTATTGCTCCCAACAGTTCCTTTCACAGCTTAGCAAACGAAGAGTGCGGTTCTTGATGACTTTAGGTTCCATGTAGGTTTTGGGGACCATTTGATGAACAGACTGCTTTGTAGTACAGAAGATCGTGTACAGTAAGAAATCGTAATAAGCATCCACATCAAGTTGAGTGTGAATTTCCCAATCCACCTGTTGTAGATTGTCCTGTAAAGATGATACATTCAACCGTTTGAAATTCCAGCGCGTCTTGTTGGTGGGATGCCTTTGCTTATAAAACTGAAGGCTATGACGGCGTGATCGCTTCTCTTCCGAGGAGCGAGGAGTGAGAGTTTATCGAACAGGAATTTTTCGTTCGTAAGTACACAGTCTAAGCGCGAGTGTCGGACGTTTTCTCCAACGAGTTGCCGACTTCACATTTTTGAATAATCTCAGATCCTCAGCGAAGTTGAAGAAGCGATCTTTCACCTCTAATATACTTATGTTCCGCGAAATTGACTTTAGGAAGATTGAAGCCCCTTAGAATCAGAATATGAGTGAATGCAAGACGAGTAGAGAGGGATAATCCTTCCAACAAACGATTGTCATACTCCATGACAACAGTGGGTTTTCTGAAGACGACTACTACATCTCGAGGTGGTAGATAATCTTACTGAGCACCATACGGATTCATGAATATCGGTAAACTCTTGGTTGTGCGCCTGATGTACCGCCAGGCAGGATCTCAAGTATGAGTCTACTCCATCTCCGATTCCTGTTTTACTGTCATTGCGAAACAAAGACATCCCGTTCACTAAGTTTGAATTGGCTTGTTCGTTCCTAAACAATAGCTTCCTCTATATATCTTTCTGGCGTGTGTAAATGTAAGACATAATGGGATATCCTGTATTTAGATACACCAAGGCGATTTTAAATAAGACAATGCATCTCATGGTGTTTAGCTTATAAAATATTTGGTAACTAGAGACAAATGGAGGTGAGTGCAAATTGGGATTCTAAGTCACAATACTCGCTATATACAATAACAAGTTATGGACTTCAGTTTATCGTTTAAAATTATTTCATCGTTCAGTCAATGTCGTGGGTCAAAGTCGAGAAATGTCCCTCATACCCCGACTCTGGAGATGATGAATGAAGATCTATCTAGCATACTTGTTATAATTGATAGGTATATTAAAGATGATTAGACGTTAAGTGACTTGAAGTTTTGTTATTACGGCGTTTATAAATTGACGTTGTTTTCATTAAATGAATTTAACTACCTGTATATTTTTACGAGTGAACAT